CCACAAACGAACTAAGCATATCGAATTAGATTGCCATTTCGTTCGTGAGAAGCTCCAATCCAACACAATCAAGCTTCTTCATGTCTCCACTCTGCACCAGCTTGCTGACCCGTTCACGAAACCCCTTCCTCCATCGACATTTGCAGCTCTCTTCTCCAAGCTTGGAGTTCACAATCTGTGTCCTCCAGCTTGCGGGGGGTATTAGGGAAAAATTCAAACCTGAATTTCCCACCTTCTTCTCACAGTGATCCGGTGCCGTTGAAGGAAGGAGGACCACCTCAAGACGAAGCGACGCCGTTGCGGGAGACAACTAAACGATCATGGAGCGATGTCGTTTCTGGTGGAAATGGCAAACTTCCCACTTGATACCCAATCTTCTATTTCTCACTGTTTTTCCTTTTTTCGGGCTGTACTTGCTTCAGATCCAAGCTTGTCTTCTTTACCCCTTTTGTAAGACACTGAACACCATCTCCACTTGCTATTTAAGCTGTGGATTGCAATGAATCAAACTAGGTTTTTCTCTTCCAACAACAAAGTGTTGTTAAGGGATATATAGTGATGAAGTGGAAGCATGAATGGAAAGAAAATTTGAATCCCCAAACGTAAGTTTGGGAAAATGCTTATATGTATTTTTAAATTTAAATTTGATTAGATTAGATTGGAGAATGTGTTGACCACGCCTAAGAAACGGTGCGTTTGGTGTACTGTTCTAACTTCTAGACAAACTGCTACAGAGGCGAAGTTAGGAATTCGTCTTTTCTTTTTTTTTTTTTTTTTTTCCTTCTTCCACTTTTCAGTTTAGATAGATATAGATCTGGATCTAATTTTATTAAATTTCCGCTTCGCCATTTCCATCCCCTTCCTTTCTCTGCGTGAAATTCCCAGCTCTCTTTAACACCGCAATTTCCCATCAATTCTCCCTGCCCCGTAAATTCCAGCTGTATTTGATTACCTCTGTGTCAGCATCGTCTTCGAGATTTGATCTTAGGGTTTTCAGATCTCCCAATTGCTGCCCGAGTGCCCGGTGTTTCCCGCGTCTTTTTGACGTTTTTATTCCGGCGTTGTGGTGGCGACGCTTTCTGTCAGCGGCGTTTTGTGATTCTGATATAATAGGAATTGAAGCTTGAGGGTTTCGTGTAAATTTGTGTACGAGCTCGTGAGAAATGTCGGCGGCTTTGGGTAAGACGTCGTATCGCGATCGGACGCCAGAGTTTCTGAGCGTAGCGGAGAGGCTGAAGAAGTCCATCTCGTCGGGGAGCAATGCCGACGTCAGTAGCAGCAGCAGCGGGAAGCCCGACGGCACGCGATCTGCGGTTGCTGTTCAGTCGGAGTTCAATAAGCGAGCTTCAAAGATTGGGTTTGGAATTCACCAGACGTCTCAGAAGCTGTCCAAGCTTGCCAAATGTGAGTCGTTCTCGTTCCCATTGACTTCTTTTTATTAGGTCAGTGGTTGCCGGATGCATCGTTTCGGTATTGCAATTCGGGTTTTCCGGTGTTACTATGACATTTCAGGTTGTTAGGAGTATTGTTATTCCATTGATGTGGAAACACTTGTCGTGTTCCATCTGGATGTGGTAATACTATGAGAGTTTGATACTGGCTGGAGGTTTTTGAATGGTTTAGATGGTGGCCTTAGTCGAGATTTTGGACGTGGAAATGGGAGGTGCATGATCAGATTGTGTGATGTTAGATGGCTGTTTGTTTCTTTGTGACGTTGTGGACAGCATCTGATCTGTGGTTTTTGGTCCTTCTGCGCCTGATCATCGACCCTCACATGGCACCACATAACATAACGTTATGGAATCACGAAACTGAACAAAGATATAGTACTCTAGTCTCTTGTTACCACAGATGATTGTAGGAAGGCATTTTCTTTTCCTTGGTAATTGTTCAGTATTCACTATGCAGCAGAGAGGGAGTTGCTCCCTCAGCAAAACTGTGATACAGTTAAGGAGGAGGTGGTGTTGGGAGATAGGGCGAGCAGGGCAGGAAACATTTATTGTCATGGTCCGTCAGAATTGAATCGTCATTCTTAGATCTGAGTGGTTGAAAGAATGCATGAGGTTCCTCACATGGTACATGCTTATAGGAGTGTTCCTTGCTTTTCTTGTGCTCAGAAGGCTGGATACCTTTGGATTTCTAGTCATCTATATTGTGCACATCTAGCTTGTTTGATGCGTAGGTTAGCATTGACTTGTACATAATTGGGATGAAGCTTCTCTATTTTGCAAAAGCTAATTAGTAGAATAAGGTTTCAGGATCTTTTACTTGCACAGTGTGAAGGTTTTCACCTTAGGAAATATCAGGGACAGTTTAAGTAATCTAGAGAAAAACAGGAGTTTGTTTTGTGGATGCTGGACTAGGTATATGTTATGGCCTTTTCTAGGATCAGTCTACGTTACTGTATGGCTTGGATTATCATGTTATTAATGTTTTCTTCATTTCTTTCCCATCAATCAGTGCTTCCTTGTTCCTTCTACTTTATTCATGAAGTTTAGGCAGAAAATGGTATTGGCTAGATTAGCCTTAGAGAATTTGAAGATACCAATCTGATCCTGAGGGTATTCCTTGCACAGCTTAGAGCAGGCTATGTAACTTAAGTACCTTGCTTGAGGCTGTGGAATCCCGATGACTTCCATACAGAACTTTCCTTTTCAATGAAAAATTTGTTGTATATTAGCATGCTACTAAGTTGGAATAGTTTCAGTATGATTTCTGAAAAATGGGAGATTGGAGCATTGTGACTAATCTATTCTGTAATTTCATCAGTGGCAAAGAGAACATCAGTATTCGATGACCCAACCATGGAGATCCAAGAATTAACTGCTGTGATAAAGCAAGATATCACTGCGTTAAATGCAGCTGTAGTAGATCTCCAGCTCGTATGCAACTCTCAAAATGAGAGTGGGAACATCTCTACCGACACCACAACCCATTCAACTACAGTTGTAGATAACCTCAAAAATCGCCTAATGGGCGCGACAAAGGAGTTTAAGGAAGTCCTAACTATGCGAACAGAGGTAAATTGAGAATCCCAATTTCAGAAATTTGTTCAGCAGGCCATATTATGGCCTCTTTAGTTTACCGTTTACTATTTATATCTAATATTTTTTCATTCTTGAACGACAGAATTTAAAGGTTCATGAGAACCGCAGGCAGTTGTTTTCTTCATCTGCATCAAAAGATGCTGCAAATCCTTTTGTCCGTCAACGTCCACTAGCTTCCAGATCTACAGCCAGTGCATCGCCAGCTCCTCCACCTCCATGGGCTAATGGTTCTGCATCATCATCCTCATCCCAGTTATTTCCCAGGTATAAATTGAGGCTGTTTCAGTTTCAGCTTTTGCTAAAGTAAAGAAAAAGTGTGTTTGGCTGGATTTTAGAATAAACTTGAGTTGATGGGGTTTGAAATATTTTTTAGTATTAAAAGAAGTAATTGATTGAATAGCAGATTGCTTGTTTAATAGTAGAGAATCAAACAATGAAATGGATGTGTTTTGGGAGATGACTATTAATGGGGTATGCACTACTAGCTTTTTGCTACTTTCCTTTTTAACTCGGAATTTCTTGCTTCTGCTTGCAGTCGACAGTCAGATGTAGAGTCTCAGCCACTCCTGCCCCAGCAGCAGCAACAGCGTCAGCAGCAACAACAGCAACAACAACAGATGGTTCCACTCCAAGATAGTTACATGCAGAGTAGAGCAGAGGCTCTACATAATGTGGAATCAACCATTCACGAGCTAAGTAGCATCTTTACACAACTAGCAACCATGGTTTCACAGCAAGGAGAGCTTGCTATAAGGTTAGTCATAATTATTGCGAAGCATCATTTCAGTTAAATTTGTGATCATGTTCTGCCCATTTTTCATCTTTGTTTTCCCTCGCTTGCACAAATGAACTGTGCTCTAGGATACCCTTGTCATAAGATGAACTAACTAGAAGGATTGTGAATACATAGCAAAAAAGTGCTGGTGTTCTTTAGAAAAAAGGAAAGAGATGCAAAATTCGAATTGAATAATGAACCTCCGAGTTGATGGGATTATGTGTGGTTGTCTTTCAGGATCGACGAGAACATGGACGATACACTGACGAATGTAGAAGGTGCACAGGGGCAGCTGGTTAGGTATCTCAACAGTATTTCTTCCAACAGGTGGCTTATGATCAAGATATTCTTTGTACTCGTTGTATTCCTCATGATCTTCTTGTTCTTTGTGGCATAAGGAAAGAAAAGGTTTAAATGGTTCATTCTCTGCGGTCTCTCCATATTCGTGTACTAGAATTCAGAATGCAAAGGGATCTCTTCTTGTAGTTAAAAAGAGGATCGATTGAAATTATGGTATATGCACAAATTTTGACAGTCATTTCCCCTTTCTCCTGTATTTTGGATGGTTGAAGACGAACTTCTGGGTACATAATTTCTGAAATTGCGGAACCTTGCGTTTCCCAGCTGCTTGCTCTTGTTTATTTTGTTCTTTGTCCACTCCGAGTTCAACGAGACTTGAACCGAACACTTTGATGTCGCAACATTGTTTTAGTATTGAAAGATTAGAAGTCTGTTGACAACTTGACATTGCTTACGACTACTTGGTGTATGTGTATTGTGATTTTTAGTGAATGTGCTCGGTTTGTGATAACATTGCAAATCTCGATCGGCAGAAATTGAAATGATAACCGGTGTTTTTACCACTCCGGTAAACCTTACGAACACATTTCTTTATTACGATCAAAAGATTGAGCATGTAAAATGGATCTTATCATCTCATCTCATCTCAATTTGCGTTCATATTTCAGTCAGAATTAAGCGCAAATCCCTCATCTGCTGCGAGCGCGATGCCTATGATAAGGATTAAAATGGCCAGAACTATTTTCCCAGGGACTGAAATGGTAATGAAAGTGAATTCAGGGCACTAATTCATCCACATCTCATACCGTTACTGAGAGCTGTTAGCGGAATTTCAAAATCAAGAGAGTCAGCGGGATATTGAATTCGAATTTCATAACGGCCATCATTTTTAACCCCCCTTCTTCAGTACCAATTCCCCTTCACAGTTCACACACCGACAGTCGAAGCAAACTCTCGCAATCGCTAACGACAATGGCAACTCTCACGCCGGGAATCCTCCTGAAGCTCCTACAGACAATGAACTCCACCACCAGAGTCACCGGCGACCACCGCTCCCCGCTCCTCCAAGTCATCGGCATAGTCCCGGCCCTCGCCGGCGCCACAGACCTCTGGCCCAACCACGGCTTCTACGTCCAGCTCTCCGACTCCCTCAACTCCACCTACGTCTCCCTCTCCGACCGCGACACCGACCTCATCCTCTCCAACCGCCTCCAGCTCGGCCAGTTCGTCTACGTCGACCGCTTCGACCCCGACTCCCCTGTTCCTAGGGTTTGCGGCATCCGCCCAATCGCCGGCCGCCACCCCTTCGTCGGCGCCCCCGAGCCGCTCATCGCTCGTATCTCGTCGTCTTCGAGGAAGGAATTCGTGATCCAGCCTGTCGAATCGTCCTCCGATTCCTCAATCGACTCGATCGCGCCGTATTTGTCCAACATAAATTCAGACGATTCGGCGAAGAACAACGACAAGTTCGAGGAGAAGAGTGTTAGGAAAGCAGTGAGAACGCCTCTCGCGCCGCGAGACAATGTGCAAGCTGGAAATTCGGAGGAGAAGACGAAGGAGAGAGCTCTGCCGCCACAGAGATTCTCTTCCCCTGCTGGAGCGAGGAGATCTGCTTCTACCGGAAGAAAGAATGTTTCTGCGGCAGTGGAGAGAGATCCGTCCCCGGCTGGGAAACCGGTGAAAAGATCTTCCTCTCCCGCTCCATCGAAATGCGTGGTGCCCAGTTTGGCGGCGGCGAGGGAGGAGAACAGGAGAGTGGCGAGGGAGCCGGCGATTATAGTTCCGTCGAGGTACCGACAGCCGTCGCCGAATGGGCGGAGGCAGGCGTCGCCGAATCCGAGGAGAGCTTCGCTGTCTCCGGGGAGGAGGCTCTCCGGAGTCAAAGATTCCGCCGGGAAGAAGAAGATTGCGGCGATTGTCGCCGGAATTTCCAGAGTCTCCGAAGCTCTCGTTGGATCTGGTAAGAGCAGTAGAAAATCATGGGACGAAACTCCGCAGCCTCCCGCAGAGCTGAGAGAGAAGAATGAGGTGAAGAAGAAGGTGGATAGAAACTCAATTCTCCGGACTCAGGTGAACTCTTCCTTCTTTCCTCCATTGTAGAGTTAGTGAATTGTAACTTTTGAGCTTTCTAATTCAAATTGCGATCAATACAGGCAGCCCTGTCTAGGCGTTTGAGCGATGCTGGTCGCCATTCCAATCACGATGATGACGATGAAGGTGATGATGATTCTTCGAGTATTGAGAAAGGAAAGCTGAATTCTCCTGGGGGATCCACTGATAACGAGAAGCCAGGTGGTAGAGCAATTGGGTTCACTGTACATGAGAAGAAATGGACTGATGGAAGCGTTCCATTTGATTCAGTTTCAGCAGAACTTGCACTGCTTGGAAAGGTAAAGACATTTTAATGGATTCTAATAGCTCAGTTACCTGTGGAAAAGATATCAAAGTAAGAATCTTTATAGCATTGCCTTACAAGGTTGCTTGAACGGAAGTCAATTTGATGAGCTCAAAACCATCAAGATACAAAACTCTTAAACAACCCTGATTCTGAAATGCAGGAAGCCATTCAAAGGAGGATTCTGGCTTCTACAGCAGCAGCAGAAGCACTGGAAGAAGCCATTGCCACGGAATCCATCGTCAGAAGCTTAAGGTTAAAACCTCCCTCTCCCCTGAGGATTTTGAATCGCTTCATTCGCTCTATTCACTGATTCGTGTAGTAATTCAACTGAACCTCTCTTCCCCCTTTCAATCTCTCCATTGCAGCATATTCGCAGACCTTGCATCATCATCCAAATCCAAGCCCGGGAACCCCTTGCCAACAATAGACCGGCTCTTCTCCCAATACGACGAAGTACACAAGTACACTCAGACTGCTCAATCCATCGCCACCAGCCACTCTTCTTCTTCCGATCACGAGGCCATCCCACCACCAACAGAGCATTCCAAATCAGCTTCGTTGTGGGTCGAAGCCGCTTTATCCACCGACCTCGAGATTGTCTCCGTTCTGAACAGAAACAGCACCACAACTGCCACCACACATCATCATCATCATCGTCAACCGTCCAATTCTGCTCCCTTCCCGAGGAGTGGTTCGAAACGACAGTCCTTCAAGGGAAGCGCTTCTTCTTCGCCGTCTTCATCAATGTCGTCTCCAAACGACAGAGCTCGTGTTGCCGCGGAAAGAGGAGGCGCTTGGAGGAGAGGCTACGGGATGAGTGAAACGGTGGAGTTGGGGAAGAAGGTGGAAGGGGAGATGGAATTTTGGTTCGTGAGGTTCGTGGAGGAAGCTTTGGATGCCGGGTTCATGGCGCTGGGTGGTGGAGATGTTGTGCCGCTCGAGCCTGGCTCGATTGCGGCCATATTGTCGCAGCTGAAGCGAGTGAATGGTTGGCTGGATAAGGTGTCGGGGAAAGGGGAGAAGGGCATGATTGAGAAGATTGAGAAGGTGAAGAGGAAGATATATGGGTTCGTTATTCAGCATGTTGGTAACGCTTTTTGAAAGGCTTTCTAAAAGGGAAACGTTTCTGATGAAGAGCACACTGAAACGAAGAAAGCTATCTTGGCTTCAGAATTTTGCTGCTGCTCTCCTCTGCTCTGCTCTTAGGAGTCTTCTCACTTTTGGTTGGTTTGAATTGAAACGTTTCTTTTCTCACTGTTGGTCATTTCCCTACTATTTATCTTTTATTGTCTTCACACTTTAAATTGTAATTAAAGTAGTGTTTGTTATACTGTATTATGCCGGCGGTTCATCGGCAAAAATCTCTATCGGTGTCCAAACTCCAAAGTAATATATAATTTCTCGGTATGAAATAATTGAATAATGGTTAAACCACAAATTAATTTCATAATAAAAAATATCATGTCATTGACTTATCCGATACAACCTCTAACACAATTTTACTTATACAAATGCAATCCTTCAATTGAAGTATTTCTTATCAGTATTGTAAAAATATTCAACCCCTCCAAAGGGAAAAGATCAAAGACACCTACAATTTCATTATTGCAAAACTTGACCAGAAACTGTCCGGGTGGAAGGCCAGGAATCTTTCTCTTGTAGGGCAGGTGACTCTAGTCTTGTCTGTCCTCAATAAATTATGTCATGCAGACAGCAGTGCTTCCAGTCTCAGTTTGCGATATTTTTTTTTTGGGGGGGGGGGGGGGGGGGGGGGGGGGGGGGATCGAGCTTTTATCTGGCCAGCTGAAGCATGGAAGCCTAAAGTCCATCTTGTATCTTGGGAGACAACAATTTGTAAACCAAAGGAGGAAATGGGACTTGGGCTAAGATCCGCCAGAGCTCTTAACTTTGCTTATCTTATGAAGTTTGGATGGTTGTTTCTAAATAATCCTAATGATCTATGGGTAAAAGCGTTACAGGGAAAGTACTTTCGTTTAAACAAGACGACAGAGTGACAAGGAAACAAAGCAGACAGTCGCGATTATGGAAGGGGATTGTGGAGGCTTGGCCTGCGATGTAGCAAGGAGTAGTGTGGGACCTTAGGGGTGGCAGGCAAAACAAATTTTAGAATAGTCCATGGCTATCCAATGATATTATCCTCGAAGAGCACATTGTTGGTGATGGCAAAGACATTGACTGGAGAGCATCAGTTGCTGACCTCACGACCAAGGAAGGTGAGTGGCGCTTTAGCATGTTTGAACCTCACCTCCCTCACAATTACGTTTCTCTTATTGCAGGGGTAGACCCACCTTGAGAGGAGCTCGGCGAGGACGTGACTGTGTGGGGATTAGAAGCTAACGGAAAATTCTGTCTAAGTTTATCGTACCGAACCGCTACTGAATGGCTCCAGGACAATGAAGAAGAGGCGGCAACGGAGAGAAGCCAGAGTGGCGTAGCATTTGGAGGTGGAACGGGCCCAACTGTATTAAGCATTTTCTTTGGCTAGAGATCCACGATAGGCTCATGATGAATTGCGAGAGAAAGCGCAGGAATATCACGACAATCGACATGTGAGAGTTGTTTAAAAGTGCCTCTGAGTCCACATAACACATGCTTAAACATTGCCATAAGGCATAACAAGTATGGCGCCAACTTGGTATTCAGGAAGACACCCTTACTGTGGCTCTTCCCTTCGCATAGTGGATGACAGCTCATCTGAAGTCTGCAAGTTCCAGGCTGCTAATGGGGGCGACAATGTGGTACTTATGGAAGCGAAGAAACGAGGAGATATTCCAAAAGAAGCAGGTTGACGAAATCACCTTGTAGCGGAGGATCAAAAGCTGGATGCGGACTATTCAACAGCCACAATAGAGTGAGAATCAGACCCAAAAGAACCGACCGACTAAAGATTGCTGCTCAACTTCATTGGAGTCCCCCGCCCACCAGATGGGTCTATATTAACATAGATGGCTCTGTCCAACAGCCTGGGTCGAGGGCAGCAGCAGGACGGCTTATTAGAGACGAGTATGGGAGATGCACGAGAGCTTTCACAACAAATCTAGGAGTCTGGACAATTACAAGAGCAAAGCTAAGGGGGCGATATACGGGTTTAAAATTGGCGTGGATCAAGGGCATAGGAAAGTTCATCTCAAACTTGATTCCACGACGGCTATCAAAATTTTGAATTCCAAAGAGAATCAGGATCAGAGATATTACAACATCGTCAAAGAATTGCAGAGACTCATTCATCAAAATTAGGAGGGATCAAATCTCTCATATTTTCAGGGAATGCAATAAAGCAGCTGACTTCCTCGCCAATAGGTCAAATCTCTCATATTTTTAATGTTTCGGATCCGGGCCTTTCATTTTGGGTCTTGTATGATACTATGGACCCAAAATCGTTTAATGTAAGTATTAGGTAGGGGTGCCCGTCATGTTTGCTAAAAAAAATCAAAAGATATTGCCTGTCATGATTTAATCCAAAATTTGCTGGAAAAAGAAACAAAAGAAGAAATGTCCATAAAACACAGGAGCTGATCAGGGCACTAACCATAAGGTGAGTAACCATGAGTAACCCATCCACATCAGTATGACATCAGTATCCCTCTCTTGCATGGAAACCTTTTTTTATCATTTCCCCTTTAATCATTAACGGACGATTTCTCTCACGTTTTAAGTCGAAATTTAAATTTTTTTGCACAGATAAATCAGATTATTGTGCTCTTTAAAATGATATCCACTTTGATATGTTTTTAGAACAAAAAATTGAGGCATCTTTTACCACTCAATACCATATGGTATTAAATAGGAGCATACTATATGATAAGAAAGCGTATCATGATGGTTTGAACATACCAAGACTATATAAAGGTTGAATACATGATAGTAGGAGTATTCTAGCTGTCATTTACGACTTTCATCATTATTTACCACAAGTTACCACCCGCATACCAGAGTGTTAAAGTATGATAATTTTTTGTCCTGTATTTTTTTCACCAAGAAATTTGTAGATCCAATAGATCATGATGAACTCGTTCCTTCTGAGAAAATATTTTTTAAAATGACTTAAAAACGAAGAAGGTACCATACGGTATGAAGTTGTTGACCGAAGGTATGAAAAACAAATTCTAAAAAAATATTGAAAAATTGATCTCATTTTTAAGAGCACAACGAACTCGTTCCAATGGTGCAAAAAAAAAAATACAAGTTAGAACAAATAAGATAAGAATCGATTAAGAAAACTAAAAAAAATGTCTTTAATTAACAACCATTAAATCTAGATTTTCTGGACCCACTTAGATGTAAAGTTCCAGATTTAGTCATCTCCCTACAGCCATAAAAGATGAGGGTTTTTATTTGCCGCCCGTATATTTACTATTTGCCTCCCGTGTATTAATTTAAAATGAAGTTTTTGCCCCCACTCCTTCCATCACCCTCACACCCTTCCCTTCCCTCCCAAACCCTTCCGCCTCCTCCTTCCCAACCATCGTCGCCGACCAGTGCAACCTCCGTTGCCGACCACCAAAAACCATCTTCACCTCCGTCCACCATATCATCACTGCCGCCGGACCTCCCTAATCATCTCTACCGTCGTCCGTCACATTATCGCGGCCGCTGGACCTCCCAACCCACAACCGCCGGACCTCCCAATTAACGAAACAGGAAGAAAAAAACACGTCCGTTCACTGGCGGCAGACGTTTTCCGCCTGCGACAATCGGACGGGGTCCAACCATTTCCAGCAGATGGGGTCCGCCCGTAGGTGTCAGACGGGGTCCGATCTGCAGCGTCGGACGGCTTGGCGCTGTCTAATTTCATGGTGACGTACAGTAGAACAAAAGAAGAGATCGAGAAGGAGAGGAGGATATTCGACAAAAAATTTAAGGAGTGGAAGAGACGTTTTGAAGGAGGTTAATTGGAGATAAGTAATTAATTATGATTTATTATTAGGTAAAGTTGTGATTAATTATAATTATGTTAAATTAGATTGGTAGTGATTAACGAGATAAGGATTCAAAATTAATAAATTAGTTAGGAGGACTATAAAATACTTATTAAATTACTTATATGGTTTTAAAGTAATTATTATTTATCAGAAATATTGTACAAACTTATTGACAATTCATTTTAATTTTGTAGAATGACTATAAATAATATTACTGATATTTAATTATAAATGATCATAAATATTGTTAAAGGACGTCTTATCTCGGATAATATTTTGTTGGGTCAGGAGGTTTTACAATTTTTGAAGAACAAATCCTTGGGTAGCGATAAGTGGATGGCTTTGAAATTAGACATGGAAAAGGCTTATGACCGTGTTGAGTGGAATTTTCTGTTTGCTATCATGTCTAAGCTTGGTTTCTGTCCCCAGTGGCTTGATTGGCTGTGGGCGTGTGTTTCATCAGTATCTTTCTCTGTGCTTATCAATGGCTCTCCTCATGGTTACTTTCATCCTGAGCGAGGATTGCGTCAAGGTGATCCGCTCTCTCCTTTGCTGTTTGCGCTCTATACGGAAGGTTTTTCTAGTGTTATTAATCAAGCCATTCATTCTGACTGCTGCATGGTCTGAAGGTGCATCGTCGTTGCCCTAGGATTTCTCACTTATTCTTTGCGGACGATTCATATTTGTTCCTCCGGGCATCCCCTTTGGAATGTCATAATCTCCTACATATTCTTAATTCTTACCAGCAGGTGAGTGGACAGAAGGTCAATCTTCAGAAATCCACTGTTACCTTTAGTAAAAATGTTTCTGCAGATGAAGCCTCTGCTATTATCTCTCTGCTTGGCGTGGCAATCAGTGGTCCCCAAGATTGTTATCTGGGACTTCCTATGCGCGTCTTGAGATCTAAACAGGATACGTTTCGTTTTGTTGAGGAAAGCCTGGTTAATCGGATTCAAGGATGGAAATCGAAGTATATGTCATTAGCGGCAAAGGAAACAGTGATTAAATCAGTGGCTTTGGCCCAACCGATTTACACGATGTCGTGTTTTCGAATTCCTTCGCTTTTTTGCAGGCGTTTAAATGGGCATCTTGCTCGCTTTTGGTGGAGTCAACAGGATAGAGAGGGTGGCATGAGATGGACCTCTTGGCGTGCTTTATGTCGACATAAATCAATTGGGGGTCTGGGTTTTCGTGATTTAGACTCTAATAACATAGCTTTGCTTGCCAAACAAGCTTGGAGGATTGTCCAGGATCCGGATAACCTCTTAGCTACCACATACAAAGGCAGGTATTTTCCCAACTCCTCCTTTCTTTGTGCTACTGCAGGTTCGCGCCCTTCATGGGCATGGCAGGGTGTTCTTTTGGGCAGGGATCTTTTGGTCCAAGGACTACGTTGGTTAATTGGTTGTGGACTTTCGGTCCACATTACGAATGATGTTTGGCTTCCCACCACCCCTCCTTCTAGGCCGATTTTGCTTCCTGGGGTTGTCTTACCTGACTCATTTGTTTCTTGCCTAATAAATCA